ACATTCCCTATCACTGATCAAACCGAATACCCCTTCGGTATTCTTAATCACTGATCGAACCGAATACCTCCCTCGGTATTCTTGTTCACTGATTAAACCGAATATCCCCCTAGGTATTCTTGATCACTTATCGAACCGAATACCCTCCTCGATATTCCCTTCCGTTCGTCAAACCGAATACCATCCTCAGCATTTCCCACTACGCCGAAATCCCCCCTCGTTCAACTGTTCCCCTAATTTAAAGCCCTCAAATCGTACCTCTTCAGGCTTGGGGGACTAGTGTACTGGATAGGGGAACTGATGGACCCTACATATAGAAGAAAGGAAACTGAATACCTATTCGGTTAGTCTAAATCAGTACCTCTAAGATTCAAAGATAAATAATAATTAGAATTTTATCCAAACCATGAAAAGGGCCAAAAGTCAAAGTTGACTCAGGCCCATTAGCCCATTACAGTATCTATAAAAGAAAGAGCAGGTAAGGGGTTGACTCTTTATTATTGAATACCATTTATTGCTCTGAGCCGAATCCTGACTTCAACATCGGAGTGCCTTTTGCAGGTACCCTCCCACATCAACAATTGTCAGAAGGACGTCAGATCAGAGGTTGAAGATAGTCGTTTCTCAGGAAGGAACAGTTCTGTTAACCAGTGTTTTTTTTTTTTCATTGAAACTCATAATATTTATTATATTTTTATGTTATTAAGATGCTAATTTTTTTAATAAAATTTTGTCATTTTTAATTACTTATTTTCGACTCTAATGATTAAAATTGATATTTTCTTTTTCAAAATATTATGTTAAGACTTTGACAGGGAAATAGAGTTGATTCACTTGTGATCATTGATATGGGTTAGAGGCAGGATTTATGAGTATTGTTTATCCTTTTTTGATTGGGTGATTTCCCTTAAACCGTCTCTTGTTATTGGAGAAGTGAGCTTTGTGAAGAATGGTTTTTTAATTGAAACTTTATTTTGGAGTGTTGGGCAGGTTTGGCATTTTTTTTCTTATTTTTAATTATAAAATTATAATTTTATTTTTTCTGTTTTTCAATATTTATATAAGAAATAGTGAAAATACGAAAAAAATTTATTTTTAGTATTTTCTATACAAATATTTAAAACCAAAAATATTTTATCATATGATTAAGTTGAACATCATTCATTAAGATTCAACTATCATTTATTATTATCAAAATAAAGATAAATTAAGAAGGAGCATGAACCCATTCTATAATGCACATCTAAAAATAAAGATGTAAAGATTAAAAAAAAAAAGGCAACAATGAGATAAAATACAATGACAAATTCTAGAATGCATATCTAAAAAAAGAATTTTATTTTTTTCTTAAAATAATTTTATTTTTTTCTCAATTTTATTTTTAGAAAAAGGGAAATTCTTTATATTTTATTGTACTAAGAAAAAGATCCAACAGATGATAAGAACAAGGGTATGAAAAAATATAAAAAGACCATGTAAAAAAAATCACACAATAAAAAAAATAGAAAGAATTTAAGTTTAAGGTTTGTTATTATGCTTAAAAAATAAACAAAAGAGAATACAAAGGAAGGTGTAAAAGAAATATCAAAATAAAATGTAAGAAAAATTACAAAATCAAAAGAGTAGAGAGATAGAAAAAACATTATTTGATGTATTTTGTTAGGGTTTAAGATTTTTTATTGTGCTTAAAAAAAATCAAAAGAAAATAAAAAAAAGGGTATAAAAAAAAGTCAAAACACAAAGTAAGAACAATTATATGCTCAAAAGACTAAAAAGATAAAAGATGTTAGTTATTGTGTTTTTGTCAAGTACTCTTGCTTGTTCACTAAAATTTGCTTTCTATTATTATTATTATTATTATTATTATTATTATTATTATTATTACTTCTTTAAGCTTTTAATTGTGTTTTTTTTCTCTCTCAATCTCTTTAATGATGTTTTCTCTAAAAATATTTACTTTCAGAATGATAAATTTTTTTCTTAGAATTTCTCCAAACTTGTCCTCTTTCCTTCTTAATTTTTTTTCTCCTTTAGGGAACACCTCTCTCTTATTTATATTTACTTTCAATGATAATTTAATTCAATTAAAAACAATTCACTATCTCCTCCATCTTTTGTTTTCTGATAATCATTCAATCAGTTTTTATCTACCATCTTATCTATTCATCTAACTTCTCAAAAAATCTACGGCATTATCTTTAATTTTTGAATTTTTTTGGTCAATTTTTATTCATTATTTTATCTACTCCCAACTTTCCAAATATTTTATTCATTATTTTTTATTTTTGAATTTTTAAAATTTAAAATTTTATTTTATTATTCTTATTTATTATTTTAGAATAGAGACTTAGATAAAATTAATTATTTACATTTGTATAATATATTTTTTATTTATTTTTTTATCGTGTTAACTATTTTTATTATACAAATTAATTATACAAAAACAATTTTTTATCATTAAAAATGTCAACTTATTTTGCCTATCTTAAGGCGGCAACAAATAAACATGAGATGAGAATAGTTTTTATGATAAACTATAATTGTTCGCTAAGTCCTATCCTCCCAAAAGATTTGTAAAAATAAAAGTAAGATTTATGTAGTAATGAAATCTTCAATTAATAAAAAAAATATAGAATATTAATTTTATTATATATTTCATACAAGACAAAAACCTTATGCACACACATAAAGAAAATCCACTAAAGAATTAAACTTGCAAAGCATTACTAATAATACTTGCACTTAGGTTAATTAAGATTAGTTAGAGTATAAATTGCTAGAAGTAATCACTCCAGATTGATTATGTTATTATGCATTATGACTTTGTGATTTCTCGAGGATTAATGTATTCTACGGGATATTATCTGAAATGCGAACATAGAATTTCAAATTAATTAATCGTAAAAGCTTATAGTAATTATGGAATAATTAATTATTTTATATAAAAATCTTAAGAAAATATTTTAGACTTATTTAATTTGTGATGGACTGTGTTATGACATGCTTATGTTCTTTGGTAAATTATTGTTTTAATGAAATACCCTCTCCAGTCCTTTTTATAAAAAAAAATAAAATAAAATTATCAGATTAAGAAAAGTAATTAATTTTGTTATGTTTTTTATAAATATAATTTTTATTTCAAAAATATATATGATATTAAATGGTATAATTAGTAATTTGTATATTTAATGATATTAATGAAAGAAAAGTATAAAAGAAAAAATATGCTCCATTTTATTTTTTATAGAAAAATATCTGGAATTAATAAAATTAATATACTCAACCGGATTGATTGGTGTTACATTAAATAATACATGTTTTGTATGTATGTGTTATAGGAATTTTGCCTTAGCAATACGATCTCATTGTCTTTCTCTTTCATGTATATTTGCTAGAATAATAAGAAGAAAAAAAAGAGTTGTAAAATATGTATGACTTAAAACCACGTAGAATATGTAACAGATATAAGATGTGATTTCGTTAGGATAATAATAATAATAATAATGACATATCGTATAAAATACACATGTTTATATTTAAATGGATATAAATAAAAAGAACAAACTGCATGTGTGGTAATATTTTTATAGACATGTTGCATTAATATTCTCATTATTTTGATAACAATAATGTAAAGTTGGATATATCACTTTCTATTTATGGTACTAATACATATATAAGCTTTTCTTGTCACTACTTAGGTTAAGTGAATGCACACACTTAGAATGGATAAAAAATCTGAATAAAAATCAATGAATGAGTATAGTTAAGGGTACAAAAATGATTATAATTCTTACTACTAAACGAGGGAATCTATAATAAACGTTTTGCTTATTATACTTTGACTAAAGTCATATTATGATCAACATATGGTAAATTTTTTTTTATTCGTTTATAGAACATGATAAAACATAAAATAATAGATATAAAAGTAAAATAAAATAAGATGATAATAAAAAAAAAATTTATGTCATTTTTTAATATTTGATGTGTATTAAATTAGTAAGTTAGGTGCTTGTTATTATTTTATTTTGTTTTATTTCAAAAATATTTTCTATAAAATAAAATTTTATAATAAAAAATAAGATATGACGAATCTATAAAATAATTTAATTATATTTATTAATTAAACAGATAATTAAAATAAATTGTTGTATTTGCACACATACACACACAAAAATACATATATACATGGCACACATTAAGAAAGATAAGAGAATAATGTTTTCCAAAATCTTTAACAACTGTAGAGAGTAAGAAGGAGGATGTAAAGAACTGTACCTTAGCATTTGAATTTGAATCCTCACAGTGAAAATTTCATTGCATCAGGTCTTGTAACAATCTTATTTTAATGATAAATTGATTAAAAATATTATAAATATATTTTTTAAAATTTAATAATATAAGAATCTACAATATAATAACAGCGTATATTTTTTAGTTATTAATATGCTCTAGTTAAATTCAAACCAAACAATGGTCAGGTTGTAGAATCAAAATTATAAATAATAAAAGTTTTTTTTTAAAGTATAATCAAATGATAGAAATTGTACAAGAAAAGATCTTTTATTATTTATATAAGATTTCCGTTGATTTAAAAAATTTTGTTAAGCCAATATTACTTTATCAATAACTCAACATTAGAAATCATCTTATCATAAATAAAATAATAAAAAAAAGGTAAAAATATTAATATTTACAATTCTTAATGTTAAATGTATCATCCTCAAATAAAACCGAATATTAATTAATATTCTTAATATATTAAAATCACTTAATATTCTTAAAATATTTGTAATCAATTAATAATACGTTAAGTATTCATTAACCAGTACAATTTAAAGTTTCCTTAACACATCGTTTATCACGTACCAACAAGATAAGATAAGGATTAGCAATTAAAGATTAAAAAAAATCAAAAACAAAATTACACTGTTTAAATAAATTCAATGCAAATTTTTTTCGACTTAACGAAGTGAGTCACAACCCACCAAATTCCCAAACTTCTCTTCTAAGTCTCTCTCTCTCTCTCTCTCTGTCTAACACAAACAAACCTCTTTTCTTCCCTTCACTCCCAAAGTAACTGTCACTTCAACCACTTCGCCGCCGTCACCCATCTCCATGAACGGCGGTGGAGGTGACTTGCCGCCGCCGGCAAACGGTGGTGAGTTCCTCCTCTCTCTTATTCAAGGACCAAACCACCACCCACAGCCGCCGCCACAATCTCCGGCGATAGATCCCGCCGTCGCTGTCGTAGGCCCCACGATTCCCGTCGCCGCTTCTTCTTGGCCAATCAATGGTGCCGATCATCTTCTTCATCATCATCAGCATCAACATCAACATCAACATCATCAACTTCCTCCATGGTCTCACACTCTCTCTTCTTCACCTTACCCTCCAAACTTTTTCGGGTTGCCCCATAACCCGTTTCCCGCTCCTCGGGTACCCGCAACCCACTACCCTTCCACCTCAATTCCCGTTTCTAACGCCGTTAGCCTCACTCACGATCTGCGAAAATTAGGGTTTCCAATTGAAGAAAACGACAATAGCAACAATAGGGTCGACGCTTTTGTTCAGCAGCAGAAGCAGCAAGAGCTGAAGTTAAAGTTCGGTTCTTTACCCACTGTTGCTTATACTGCATCTGAAGTTTCTCCCAATAGGGACTCGTTGCTCAATTTGAAGTTCAACAGAAGCCACAACGGGTTCGATAGGAACTTGCATGTGGACCCCAAGGCTAGTCCCAATTCGAATTCGACTGGGAATTTGGTTCTTCATGGTAATCATGATGATTTTGACAAAGAAAGAAGGGGTCTTGGGAACTTTAGGGCTATTGGGTCATCATCCCCTGAGCCAAGTAGGGTTCCGCCGGGGTTTGGAAACATGACTAGGGGGAAGGGTCATTGGGGTAGAAAGCGTTCGGAGATTGGTGAGGATAGGGTTGGTGTTGTTGGTTCTGGTGAAACGGGTGTTAGGAATGTGAATTTGTATGCTAAGAGGGAAAGTGTGAGAATGGTGTCTGGTGAAAGGAGCAATGCAAGAGGCAATGTCGTTCGTGAAATGGGGCTTCCTGATCAGCTTGACCACCCTGGTCCACCCACTGGGAGTAATCTTCATTCGGTTAATGAGATTGGCATTGTTGAAGATGGGGTTGGAGATAAGCATAAGGGTGGTGGTCGATCAAGAATGGAGGCTATTCGTGGTGCTGATGTTGGTGTCCTTGAGGAGCAGTTAGCCGATTCCTTGTTGCTTGAGGATGAGTCCGATGACAAGAATATCTCGAGGCAACGCCGTGGTGCTCGGGAGAAGGTAATTACTTATGCTTGTCGTTCTTGATGATACTACTATGATGTTTTTTCTTGTTTTATATTTTAAATTTGTTTGAAGGACTGCTTGTTGAAGAACCAAGATAGACTATTGTGTTTTACAGTTAGCTTTCAATCATTGAATTGTAAGGTTCATATGGTATTCGTTTGTTTTCTTAGTTAAAACAAGGATTCTTAAAATATGAGGGTTGCTTACAGCATTTTATTATCAGGATGCTAGATCGTCAGATTCAAGAGGACAGCATCTTCTAAGCCAGCGGGCAAGAATGTATAAAAGACAGATGATGTGTCGAAGGGACATAGATATTCTTAATGTTCCTTTCCTTGCGATATATGAGTCTCTAATACCTCCTGAAGAAGAAAAGCTGAAGCAAAAGCAATTATTAGCGGTTTTGGAGAAATTAGTTAGCAAGGAATGGCCAACAGCTAAGCTTTATCTCTATGGATCATGTGCTAATTCATTTGGTGTTTCTAAAAGTGACATTGATGTTTGCCTTGCCATTGAGGAAGCTGACTTGGACAAATCCAAGATTATAATGAAATTGGCAGATATTTTGCAATCGGACAATCTACAGAATGTGCAGGTGAGAAGATTGCTATGCTGTCTTTATATTGCTATCATATATCTTGGGGGTTTTGATTCATTTTCATGTATTTACATATATCAAGAAAAGTTCAAAACTGCTTCCCTAAACAGCTGTTGCTTGTATAAACCTACTAAGAAATTTTCATGAAGGAGATGTAATGATTTTTGTCTAGTATGAGCAAAAATTGAAAAAGTTGCCAGGGGTAGATTGACCTTGAATTTTGTCCTATATGATGGAAAGACAATCTCTATTTGGTAAACATTTAATATTACAATGCCTTGCTTGGATTTTTGTTATTCATTATTAACCGAATACTTCACAGGCAACAGCATATGTGACTTAAACTGTGTTTTGGGTATACATATTGATCAAACACTTATTCAATAATTTATTATTTTTTTTCATACAAGTGCATATGCCATAAGTTTTACGATGAATTTTATTAGAATAAGTCAAAAACAGTTTATTTTGGTAAGTTTTTATCTTCTTTAAATAAGCTAAAAAGATTGTATGAGTCAGAAGTTATCTTTCTATGTTGACTGCAATCTCTTCCTAACGCTCCCTTAATAATTTTGTGGAGGTAATGAGAGCATATGTGCACATAATTATACACTGTAAATTTCTGTCAATTATCTTCCTGCTTGTGGAGTATAATTGTCCAATACTACTATCTACTTCATTGCTGCTCAAAGTGATGAAAGGTTGAAGGTGGCAAGGAAGTTGACTTTGGGGAGGCTTCTCTTTTGTCAATTTTCATTATAAGAAAGTCTTGATACAGAAATCTAGGATTTGGGTGAGTGAGAAATGTGGATAGAGAAAAACTGACAATGTACTAGGGTTGTAAGTTGAAGTGCTGTGCGAATTGTCCCCACAGCATGTCTCAGTATATATAAATGCTGTAATAGGATATCTTAGTTGAACTGTTGAAGTAAGAAAAAAATATGAACATGTGGAAAAACAAGAAGGGCCATCCAGTAAGGAAAGCTTGCTAGCTAGCCTCTTTGCATATCCAATAAAGTAACTTCTCTAACTTTAATGTTGTCATTAGCTGAGCATTACAAAACCTAACAAGGTCACTTGATTATGTATTTATCATGAAAATCTACAGAAAAAAGTTTCCTTTAAATTTCTGTATAAAAAGAGGGTTATTGAAGGGAATCTGACTTTATTATGTTATTTTGGCATAGATGTTGGATATAATGTGGTGCTTTTGCAGTCTTTAATAGTTTTTAATTTGTGGGTTTCTTAATTTGAGTTTATTTGTAGGCATTGACACGAGCACGGGTTCCTATAGTAAAGCTCATGGATCCAGTGACAGGAATCTCTTGCGACATCTGCATTAACAATCTCCTAGCTGTTGTGAATACAAAGCTTCTTCGGGATTATGCACGCATAGATGCAAGGTTACGTCAGCTGGCTTTTATTATTAAACATTGGGCAAAGTCAAGAGGAGTCAATGAAACTTACCATGGGACCTTATCTAGCTATGCGTAAGTTTAGCTTCTGTTGCTATTCTTGTTAAAAAAGATTATGCTTTACCCTCTATTTAATTTAATTTAAGTTATTATGTTAATTTTTATCAAAATGATTGGCATGATCAAACTGTTGAAGTGCAGTAACTGGTGACAAAATATTGTTCCCTAAATGTAATTTGTGTAATTCTAATTTCAGGTATGTATTGATGTGCATTCATTTTTTACAACTTCGAAGACCTGCTATCCTTCCATGCTTACAGGTGTGCACTTGAGTTTTCATTCTTTTATTCCACCATGCGGGATATACCTGGATGTAGCCTTTCTACTAGAATGTCATTGTTTATGCTATTTATATTTCAGAAGTACTCTTCATTTTGACCTGAACACAATGGTTAGTGTTTCCATGTTCCATAGAAAGTGAAAATTAAATTAGCCAAGAGTGCTAGGTTTCTTTCCCTTTACATGCAATGGGCTGGAAAAACACTTTAAATTTGTGCTATGGCAAGGCCCAAAAGTTCTTCTTGGAAAATAATTTTTACTCTGACCAAACCACTTCATCTATGTATGAGTCATGTATGTAAGTTTTGCAAAAGCAAAATGCCAAAATTGTAAAGAAATTTTCACTTTTGGTTCTATGTCTGGTAGTATGCTTTCATGTTTACCATGGCTAATTTTGTGAATAAAATAACTTTTTTTCCAGTATTCAAAGCAAAGATAGTTAATTCTTCCTCATTAAGCATGCCATCAAGTGTCACCCGAATCATGTTTATACATCATACAGCTAATTTTGTAATTTAATACATTTATTTAATGATTAAATACTATTTTTTTTTTTCTATATAGGAGATGGAGGCAACATATTCTGTTACTGTGGATGACATTGATTGTACTTACTTTGATCAAGTTGAAAAACTTTGTGATTTTGGGGTCCATAACAAGGAAACAATTGCTCAACTCGTGTGGGGATTTTTCTATTATTGGGCATATTGTCATGATTATGCAAATACTGTTATATCTGTACGTACCGGAAGCATAATCAGGTAAGGGAACACGGTACTGTAATATTTTTTTTTTTCAGTTTCCTTCTTATATGCTTCCATCATTAATTGGTCACTCTTGTTTTCTGTTTTTTTTTTATGGTTAAAAATTGGTTGTCGTTTTCTTACATGGGGTATATAACTAATGTACTTGGTCATATCTAGCATCAATTGTTAATAAGCTAATAGGGAGGGGGTGGAGTCACACTGAAGTTTTCCTGATGCAGACTATTGCCTTTTCTCTTGCTTAGGTTTACATTATTGATAGTAGTGATGTTGAACATATGAAAAAAAAAGCAAATTTTGTTTTATAGCTAATAAATTTGAAGTTTCTTATTTCCCATTATTTTGTTCTTTCAATTATATATATTATGATATGAAGGCCCTTTTTGGTGTAGCAAGCGAGAGAAGGACTGGACAAGGAGGATTGGTAATGATCGACATTTAATATGTATAGAGGATCCTTTTGAAATATCTCATGATCTGGGTCGAGTGGTAGACAAACATAGCATCAAAGTTCTCAGGGAAGAGTTTGAACGTGCTGCAGATATTATGCAGTATGATCCAAGTCCATGTATTAAACTTTTTGAGCCTTATGTTCCTAGTTGATTCACTAGTTTTGAATATAGATTTATAGGTGAGGTGATGGACACAGCTTGTAAAGCTTCTTTTGCCACATTTCGTATATTAACTTAGTCTCATGTTTATAAGTGTATTTATTAGGGCTTTAAATATGCCATCTCAATGTAAAGAACTTTTTGGCCTACTTGATATTTTATTCGAATTTCGAATGACAAGAATTTACTGTTGCGCTGAACCAGCTTCCAAGGTATTTAATTGGTTAGTCAATAATTTTTATGCTCTTCTAGTCAGGGGTTAACTTTTTAGGGTCTTTTTAACCAACGATTTTAAGGCACTGGTTAGGGAATGGAATTGAAAGTGAAATTTGTCTTATGGCTTGCATTTTGGAGTGTTGGTGTCTTGGCCAAGTTGCTAACTATAAAAATTTGCTTTTCTTTTTCTTTTCAAGTCCTAATTCCCTCCTTAAATTGAGGTGCAGACGGTTATGCTTAAAATAACCACTTTGGTGTTTCATGGCATAGATTGAAAGCTCTCATAAAATAATGATCACAATTTTCAAATTTTGGAATGTAAAATATTCGAAGTTCACACCACTAATTATACTTTTATATATTTAGACACAATGTACGAGTCTTAGTTCTCCTAACTCCATGATTCTTCTTTGTCACTACTCCAAGCCTTTTTCCTAGAACTTATCGTACCGATGGCTGATGAAGATAATAACAGAAAGCAACACCATTTCTATGGTTTTCGTAAGTTTTTATTCTAAGCGACACAAAAAATGCTAAGCTTGAACACCACTTCCCTCGCAAATTACATATTATACTTTATTTTCTGTCCGATGCATAGCTGTCCATGGCCTTTCATCAGTTTCATACTAAAATATAATGGTGACGATAATATAGAGCATTAGTACACTATAATTTAAAAGTGATGAAATTTTTTTTCAATTTTCGGTGTTGCTAAGCGGTGCTCTCATGGTACTGATTAAGGAGTCAATGATGAGTGTGTGTTTTTATTAGAAATCATATTAGAATGCATTAAAATACATGGGATTGGGTGTATTTTTATATTTTTATTTTTGATTCATTAATGCCCTAATATTTACCATTTTTCTTTAATTTTTACTATTTATTACTAATTTACTGTAGACTTCATCTTGAATTTTCCCCAAATTTAATGTAACGATGCCCTCATATTTAAAATAGCAAACTGGAGGGAAATTATGTGTTTGGCAATAGATTAAAGTGGGAGAAAAAAAAAAGGTTGTTACTTCTTTATCTAATATACATCCATACTAATAAAATTTGGCAAAATTAATAAATGGTCGTTTTTCTTAAACATACTAATTTAAATTTAACTCATGGTTGTGAGTATAAAAAATACTTTACAGAGAGAAAAATCTCCTTTAGTAATTCTTGTAGAGTTGTTATTTAATCAAAATTGAAATTTTATTTTTTGTAATCCAGACAATATAAGTTATTGTTAAGATTGACATGAGTTATAAGAAAATAATTTTAGTTGAAGATATATACAAAAATAATTATCATATTTTGCAATTTTGTGTGTGTATAATAAAAGTATCTTTTAACCTATAAATAAAATAGCTATCATATCTTCATCCAACCAAACTTTCCTCAACATGAGTTTTAATTGCCATAAAATAGCTAAATTTTAATTTATCAACAACACTCGGAAGACTTTTCAACTACAATTTCGCAATACTAGTAGCATATTGAATTAGGTTAGACCTTTATTCTAAGGTCAATTAAGCCACATATGCATGCATATTCAATGTTCCATGAACGCTTGCTTGCTCTCAGCGCTCAGAACTTATTGCAATTATGTCCTATTGACTTGTACACTACTAAAGTTCATTACAATATTTTAGATGTGTCACTCGCATATGAGCCAACATAACTAGTCAACATCACTACATGAAATATGTGATTTATTCCTACCATATTTTATTGCTACAAATTCTAACTTGAGCATTAGAATACCTATAAATTCTTGCCTACTACTACTAGTATATAGTTGCACCTTAAAATGACACCAAATCACTACTAAAACAACAACCAAAAAAGCTTACCAAATTGTTTACAAGAGAACACACAGCTTTATGCAAATTTTAAAATTCTAGGAGTGCATCATTATTGACAATCAGCATGAACAAGATGTATGGTTGAAATTGGATTAATAGAAATGTGACAAAAATAACCATCACAACTACACGACTGGAGTAATCAGAGGCCTATTTGAGAAAAAAGCTTCCAAATTGAGCCCCACAAGTTGGGAAATTTCCATGTTAAGACTCTAAAGTGGAAAAACCTACATGTGGTGATAGGACTACATTATCCAACGAAAAGAACTCTTGAGAAACATGTGGTTCATTCTCAAACACATCCAAACCAGCACCTCCAATTTCCCCTTCCATCAAACACCTTAACAATTCCTTTTCTTCTATCAAAGCCTCTCTTGCCACATTCACAATAACCCCTTCTTTTCCCAGTGCCAACATGACTTCTCTGTTTATTATGTACTTCGTTTGGTTGTTTAGAGCACAACACAGAACAAGCACATTGTTGTTAGAGGCAAGTTCAACAACACTAGAATAGAAAGGGTAATGAACAAGTGTTTTTTTGTTCCTAGAGTTGTATGATATTATGCAACCAAATGCTTCAAGCCTATGTGCCACTTCTATGCCAATCTTTCCCAAACCAACAATTCCAACTTTCTTTCCAGTTAACTGAAACATCAACATATTATATGCTTATCATTAATGCTTTCAAAATAAAGGCGTAGCTACCATTGATAGCATGTTAGGTAAAGATAAAATTTTTGCAAATAAATTGAATTAATAAATACTAAATAGCAATTCAGATTCACATGTCTGTGTATTGATACTAGTACTGTTTTAAAGAAGTACTTACAGAGAGAAGAAAGTAAAAAAGTAATATGAATAAGTATTTTATAAATTAAAATTAATTCATATATCATGTTTTAAAGAAATTAAATAGAAAAACTTTAAAAAGAATAAATAAAAGAACACAAGTTGATATTAATTTATAAAACAAAATTTATTTTATCTTTACTTATTTTTTCTTCTGTAAATATTTGTTGAAAAACTTAAGCCTACATCCAGATCGTGTGTCATTACTTCAATTGTTAAGTAATTCTAAATCATGTAAGATTATGAATACATATTTAGACTTTTGTAGTTTTGCTTTATATGTTTAAATCTAGTAATATTAGATTTCTTTTTGGAACTAGGATCTCTTGATTTTTCAATTATTCTATAATTAACCTTACTTTCAAATCAATCATTACTAGCTGCCTCAACATCAAGCCAGCATTTTAATTTTAGAATTACGAAGTATGTAGAATATATATATATATATATATATATATATATATATATATATAATATAATATAATATAATTTTAAAATTATTGTTTTACTCTTGACTTCTATTGGTATAACATTTGTCCAATGAAAATTAAAATATTATAAGATTATGTATTAAACTAATATTTAATATATCAATAATTTATATCTTTAATATTAATGAAATAATATATTAACGTTTATTCTAATACTTTTATTTTCATTTAAGTTAAAATTATGCTAACAAAAATTAAATCATCCTCAAACCTGGGATGGAAAAAGTTTAAGACAGGCCAGGTTTCACTCTAAATAGGCTCGACCTGTAACATAATTATTGAGCCTGAGCTTGACTTGTTATCTATTAAAAGCTTTATTTTCAGCCTAACTTGACCTATTTGGGTAGCTTGTGTCATGCCTCAAATTTTGTAATAGTATTTTGAATATTAATATAAATTGTGAAGTTCTTTATGAATGTGTAATTTATGTATATAATGATGTGAATATATGTGTATATGTGTGGTGACGTGTAGAGAGAAAGCCCTAGCCGTAGGGTATGAATATGTTGCATTCTCGCTGCAGCGAGGAGAGCGAGGGAGTAACAGAAGATGGTGCATTTCTGGGTACAGTCTCGCTGTAGCAAGATTATGCAGAAATCAGAGGGCAGATTCTTCTGAGATTTTTGCTGCAGCGAAAGTGTAGTGACTCCTAAGGTATTTGTCTATTTAAGGGGGTTAGGGTTCGGCAAACTCATTTTCTACTCTTTCTCTTCATCCCTCTTTCGATTCTCTCAATTTTCAATCCTATTTCACCAATTAAACTACTTCCAAAGTCGTTTGAGTGCAAGTTTGAAGATTGTAGTTGTGCTTTGGACGATTAGAGATGAGTTTTATAGGTTAGGATTTTCATTTTTGTCCCTTTCCTTCATTTTCTCAGTTTCTCATAGAGTTTTTCATGTATTTAGAACGAAAATTCGTGTGGAAAGCATTTTCATTGTTGATTACTGTTGTGGGTCTTCATTCTGAGGTAAGTGAGCACTCTACCCTATATTTTTGCTTAAACTTCGTTTATGCTACTAGATATTGGAATGTGAATGATTAGAATGTAAGGAAATGTGTGTTTCCACGAAAATAATTCGATTGTAGTGAGATTGAGATAGAAAGTTTGTGTCAATTATAACGTGATTGACATTGGGCATAATGTGTGATGAAATGTGTTAATTATGATGAAATGGTGATGGAAATGAGGTGTGTTTGAGTGTAATATGTCACAATCCCTTTTATAAGAAACTGAGAACATTGTTTCTACACCACATACTTATTTAAGATAGATAAATAATAAAGAATATAAATATAAAATTCACTTCTCATTCAAAATAAAATAAAGTTTCTTACAACAAATATCCAATAGAACAACATAATATTACATTTAGTTCATAATATTCAAAATACACAAAATTATACTACGTAGCTCCCTCTAAATGAGATATTAAAATATAAGAAAAAAGGACTTTGATGCAAAATTACTCGATTCCAGTTTCTAACATTTCTCCACTGGCCCCTCAGCTTGTGAAATAGATACAACATTTGCTACATCTGCTCACGTACCACTATATGGTTATCGCATTACACACGCACACAACGACATAGACTGAAATGCAAGGGTGAACTTACAAAAATAAAATAAAATTGTATATATAGAGCAAAACATTACTCACAGCAATAGCCCCATACATTACCAGCCCATCTAATGCATAGCATGAAAACGATTTTCAACTGGTTTCATAACCTAAGTAATCCAGAAGGAACTTAGCCGGTCTGAGAGCGACCCATTCCAATAT